CCCCTCAGTCCTGTCAGCACTTGGTAGAAGGCTCCCCAGCCGCCCACCCTGGCTCTGGGACAGGCTTGTCTGAAGGAGTGGCTCTCACTTGGGAGCGCTTCCTCCTTACCCCACAGCACCACCTCCTGTGGGTCTTGGGGCACTTTCTCCTGTGTCCCTGAGTTCCTGTCCTTGGCCACAGATGACAACAGCAGGGTTGCTTCTAAACGGAAGAGCCCTTTCCACATCTTCTTATGGACAGAATGAGTCCTCCTGAAATTACATGTGATTTTTGTAAGGTGGCCCCCAAAAGGGATTACGTAGAGGCAAAATTCCAAACCCTCTGTCTCTTCCGTGGAAATGTATCCTGCTAGGGAAAAACCATCAAGCTCATTATTTTTTCTTTTCTTTTTCAATTGTACTTTTGTGAATATTTTAATACATCTTTTTAAAGTACTAAATTGTGTCGTGTGCTCATTTTTAATCAAATAGAAAAAGAATTAAAAGCCTTTTCATTCATCCCACCCCAGCCACAGTGGCCTCCCTGTTCCTCAGAAGCACCAAGCATGGCCTGCCTCAGGCCCTTTGCACATGCTGCCTCCTCTGCCTGGAACACATTCTGCATGTATTTGTGGGTTTGCTCCCTCCCTTCCTTTAAGTCTCTGCCCCAATGTCACCTTCTCCGAGAGAGCTTTGTGAAATAAAAAAGAGCAACCTCACCCTCACACCAGCTCTCCTAACCACCTTAATTAACCCTGCTCTACTTTTCTCCTCCTTACCAATATATAGGCTACCCTGTTTCCCCACTCCAACATAAATACCAAGAGGCCACGGCTTTGCTATTTGGTTCACTGCTCCATCCTTTGTGCATAAAATATTTCCTGGCTGGCACTTAGCAGGTGCTCAGTCAATGTCAACGGGATGGACAGGTTTATCCATTCAACACATCTACATCGAGGGCTGTCCTGGGCTAAGCATGAGGAAACAATGAACAAGATAAGCTCAGGGGCTTGCCACAGAGTGGAGGTGACAGAAGGTGACGGTCGTAATTACTAAATACTTGTTTGCCCACCCTTGGTGTCTCTTACTCTCTGCAGCACTGAGTTAATGCCGGTACTAATCTCAGGCCCCGTTAGGAAGACAGCGTCAGGCTTAGGGTATGTGACTCGCAGGGTGGCCCGGCGGGCGCGGGTGCGGGCACTGCCTGATCCAAGGCCTCTTCTTAACCTCTCACCAAAGACAGGAGCCTCACTCCCTCTTTGAGATGAAGGGGCTGGGGGCCTGGCTGCGATTTCTCTCTGCCCCTCGGGAGCTGGGGGGGTGAGATAAGGGAGGTGGTTGTGTAAGAGGTAGAGACACAGGTGCCTGGGGACCTTAATCTCAGGTCGAGACTTAACCTGTTGAGAGCAGTGTCACCAATAACGTCTTACTGATTAAGCACAAAGTTTTCCAGTGACTTGTGAGCTTCATAAATCACTGTGCATTCGGGACAGGCTTGCGTAACTCTCTTGATTGAGGGAGGAGTCACCGCTGGCAGGGCCGCCTGTGGGAGCGACGCTGTGGGGCCGCAGCCACCACGGGCATTCGGCCAGGGCAGAGACGCTTCTGCGGCTCAGGGCAGCAGTCATGGGATCTCTGGCTTCTCCCGTCTCCACGGTCCTGCCCACGTTGAAGCGAAGTTTTAGGGAGTTTCCTCCCGTTG